TGTCCTGGATACCCGAGGTGTGATCTAGAAGGGGAATGCAGTCTCCCAGGGAGACTTGATCTCAGGGACATCTCACCCCATGGAGGGATGCTGGAGGAGGATGAGAGCAAACCCTCCGAAGCATGGGACCGGGCCAAGACCCCTCTTATCTGGATCTAAGGGAAGTATTACCTCTCTGAGTTTGTTTCTTCATCTGTAAAAGGGGGTTATTCATGGGCCTTCCCTCGAAGAGCTGCACTGAATGTTAAATGAGTCAATACACATAAGTTCATGACATGAAGTCAGTGGTTAATAAATGCCAGTTATTAGTATAAGGGATATAAATGGACAGAGACTCTAGAAACCAAGCAGGGAAGGAGAAAACACCTTCTGACACCCTTGCCCTTTAAACTAATCTAGTTTAGGTTTTCTTCCCTGTTTTAGAAAAGACCTGGACAGGAGCCATATCTCCATTGGGCTGGGTGAAGTAGGATAAGGACTTCATTATAGGAAGGGTTCTGGGTGATAAAGGCAGGCCCAGCCCCTTCCCCCTCCCTCCAGACGATGCAGTCCCTGACAGGCTCAGGGACAGGCCTGGTGGTCACTGGGAGGGCTGAGGAGCCCAGGATAGGGTCTGGGGGACACCTAGAAATTCTGATCTTCCCTGGGGACCCTCATCCCACCCTCAGAGCTGGGAAGGTGGGTGCAGCATGGAATTTAGTCTAAATGCTCCATTTTTAGTAGCTTCCGATTCTGGAGCCAGAGAGAAACAAGGATGTCACAAAGTCATGCCTTTGTGAGACTGTCGAGAGTATTGAGTCCACAATGTTTCTCTCAGTGATGGGGAGCCTGAAGCCCAGAGAGGAGAGAGGTCTGTTCCAGGTTACATAGCCATTCGGAGGCAGTGTCCAGGCTACAAGTCAAGACTTCTAATTCAGGTGGAAATTATTTTCATTGCATTGGGCAGCCCTGGTCTGTGCCAGGGGGAAAGTGGAGAAGTGAAGGCCAGCAAAGGGGTCAAACAACGCAGGGCAGGAAGTTATAACTCCCAGACCTGGCTCTGCCACCCACGACCTATGAGACCTCAGGTCCTAACTGTGCTCTCTGGCCCTGGACTGCGACATCTATTTCTGCAGGTGTTTTTAAGCTAAAGGAGAAGTTAATAATATCATTCGTGTTTACTAAGTATAGCGTCAGGTACTCTGTTAGGCCCTTCCATGCTTTATCTCATTTAATCCTCAAATAACCCTGTGGGCTGGGACCTGGTGCTGCCTGCCTCCCATTTTCTGGATGAGAAAACTGGGGCTTAGAAAAGTTGAATACATTGACCAAGGTCATCTCGCTGGTAAGTGGCAGAGCCAGGGCATGAACCCAGCAAAGCCTGTGCTCTTGACCACTGAGCCACCCCACATCATACACTAACTGCCAAGTGTCCTATACAGTGAGATTGCCAAATAGGCAGAGAAAAGGACCAGGGGAGTTCTGTGGACTCAGTAAATGGAGTACCCCAGAGGGAAAGTGGGCCCCAGATGTCACATGGAGAGTAAGGGTGATGTTAACAAGTGGGAACTTATAGAGGAAGTCGAGACACCTCTAGTTTGTACTAATATCCTGCTTCTTCTACATGACTTCCTTTCCAAAGCCCACTCCATACAGCAGGTCCCGTCCTTCTCAGGGAAAATCTATCCATCAGTCCATTTCTGGAGATCTTTGGCGACCGGTGGGACTGCAGATCCATCAATAGCCACCAGAGGGCGGGCCAAGGACCTGTGACCAAGTCCTATGGACTCAGTACCCCTCAGAGCCTAGCCAAGTGTCCAGCCAGGGATGGACCTAGATGCCCTATCGCAGAGCCCTCGGCCACATTTTACCATAAGCTCACTCCCTCAGACCTCAAACTATCTAACTGCAGAAGCTCAACTCATGGTCAAACATGGTGTCTGGATCTTCCGGGTCAAAGATCTTAAGAATCACCACGGGAACAGTAATGCCAATAGCTTCCACCGCAGGCGTTGGTCAGAACTTCATTTTACTAAGCATTTTCTCAGACCTTGAGTGGCTGGAGATTTGCCAAATGTGCGAGTGGCATAGTCTCACTGTACAGATGAAGAAACTGAGGCACTAGGCAGGGGAGTAACTAGCTTCAGGTCACCTAGAGAACGCTGGTCTTCAAACTCCGGCAAGGGCTGTGCCCAACTCCCAGCCTGTCTAGAGGTGCAAGTAGGATGGGGGTGCTGCACCTGTGGGTAGGGAGAGGAACAAGGGGTCAGAATGTCCCACAGGGAAGACTAAATGCCTTGTGGTGTTTCCTGTCAACTGAGACCAGCCATCCACCCACCCACGATCCATCTGTCCCAGAGTGTTCATTGAGCACCTGCTGGAGACACAAAGATGGGATCTCCTGCCCTCAAAAAGCTGCCAATCTAGTGCGGGAAAGTGGTGAGTCAGCAGATAATTACAGAAACCGACGCCTGTATAATGGGGTATGAGCAGAGGGGTTCGTGACTGTCTGGAACACACCCAAGTTGAGGGTGTCTTCTGGGGGTCCCAGGCCTGAAGGAGCGGCTCGGAGCCAAGGACTATTCACAGAGGCACCCGCTTCCCTGAAGCTCACCCCGAGATGGGGGCTCCCCTCTCAGCTTCGAATGCCCGCCTGTGTTAGGGACCCGGGGGTCCCCCCCTACCCCTCTCAGAAGAGCGCCGGCCCGGGCGCCGATGACAGCACACCTGAGTCAGCCCGCCGCCCACTCGCCCCTCAGCGTCTGTCTCCGCATCTTGTGATATTTCGCTCCTCGGGAGCCAGCCCCACTGCGCTCCGGAGGCTGCTCGGCAAACAAACCCAGCGACAGATTGTGCCGCGGCTCATTCCGGGGAAGGACGCCAAATCCCACCCAGCTACCCCCAACACTCCCTCCCCTCCGCCTCCTCCAGGCACTCCTCCCAGGCGCGGGCCCTGGCAGAGAGGGTCCCAGGAAACACAGAGGCCTATTCCTGCCTTCTAGAGATGGGAGGGGGCCCGGAGCCCCAGAGACGCCCCTTTCCTCTCCTACCTGACCTCAACTAAGCAGGAACCAGAGAGGACATTTAGGTACCGAGACGGCCTGGGAGCCCCGGAAGGACAGAGGATGGAGCCAGCAGGGGGCGCCCGAGCGTCAAGGTGCAAGTGGGCCAGGAGCCTGCTAGTGAAATGGGGCAGAAAAGAAGGTAAAGGCAGAGAAAGAAAGACGGGAGACACAGAGGTGAAGAGACAGAGGCAGGGAGCCACGGGACAGAAGGGAAGCAACAGAGATGCGGACAGATAATAAGAGAGACGGAGAAGATAGTGGCAGAAATCTGAGACAGATGCATGAAGGGAGGAAATAGGAAGGAGGGAGGGAGGAAGAGAGGGAGGGAACAGAGACCGAGACCATAAAATATGAATAAGAGTGTGTGGGGGGAGGAGAAAATGAGAGGAATCGAATGAGAACGAGGGAATAATGAGGCTGCGGATGGAGCAGAGAATGAATGGGAAAATGACACCAGCATTTATACAGCGCCGACTGTATACCGGGCTCTGCGTTGGACTCCGGCACAGACTGGAGGGGAGGAGCCGAAGAGAGGGGCTTCCTTTTCTTTGCTCCCAGGAGCGACCGCCCGGGCTCCTGCGCTGCCCCGGGCGGGGCGGGGCAGG